TTTGCCAAATTTTATAGACATCCGTTCAGCCGTTTTAGTCACCTAGTAACAAATAATATTTAAACTTTTTAATTTATATAAATATGATAAATACGAAAATGTTTATTGGTTGATACGGCCCTGTGCAGCCCACACAACACACACACGCGCCTCCGACCGGTCGGTTGACGTCAATGGCGGGGACGGGCATATAAAAAAAATTAAACTATCGGTTTACTACTGCAGGAAACAGTAACCATAACAAGCCATTGTTTCCTTACGTACCTACCAATTAACTGTTTACTAACTAAACATCTCATGCATCGTTTTTGTGATTGTTATCATTGATTTATGTAACTTACACACATACTTCTATTGTCTGATAACAATCTAACAATAGCATTCTTAAGGCGACAATTTTCAACGGTCACGTAAGAATAATTAATGAAATATTGAAAGAAACCCCCTGTTACTAATATGTATGTATAATATTTTCGAAAGACTGTACCCCCATAATAAAGCACAAACACACACCACTTTGTGGCGCAGGACATCAGCAATCACTGCATATTTTTTAATAATTCCTCATTTAAAATGAAAAATCCTACACTTGCGTCACGCTTTAGGCTAGATATTTTCACGCTATCAAACTTAGGGGAATAAATAAATTGGACAAAACCTTTATGTGGGAAAGGGACCGTAAACTATAAGCTGCCAACATTAAGGAAGCAAGGTTATTATGGTAACGGTAATTTTGACATTTGCAATTGAGAATTTGAATAATGTAAAGAATAAAATAAAGTTTTTATAATTTTATGCGGATTAAGCCGCACGAGAACAGCTAGTATTATATACGATTCAATCAGAGAAAGTCGATTACATCTCGGTAAAGTAAAAATCGACTTCGACGTTACGTTATTATAGGTCACATCAACATAACCATAAACCTACATTAGACAACAAACAAAAAACTACCATCTTTTCAATCGATAATTACGAGTAAACAATAGAATAGCAAAATACATCCAAATAGAAAAGAAAAATTCAATTACGTACAATCGTATACCAACTTGCTTCACTTTAGTAATAACTTTACTAACTTAACAACATAATACACTCGCTATTATATAGGCTTAATAATTTTAAATGATAAATTAAATTATGACAACCAAAGATATTACGCGATAATGTATTAATAACATTAAAAATAAATATCTTGTTTAAAAATAATTTATGACTTAAGGAAAACTACTCCTTATCGACCCAACAGGTGGACCATTTTGAAACGTCTGTCTATTTTAATAAATACGACTAAAAAATAAATACTACGAAATAAAAATATACTCGTTTTGCATATGTTACTCACTGATAACGTAGCTTTTTGATGTTGTATGAATTTTTTTTAAACCGGCCCAGTAGTTTTTGAGTTATTTCAATACATACAAAAATGAAAATCTTTTCTCTTTATAATATTAGTATAGATAAAAAACAAGCATTTTTTTTACTAGTAATAAAGCAATTTCGATAACTTCAGCTTTATTTAATTTTCACAATTTATTTCAAACATTCTTACATCAAATATAACGTTAAACTGTCAAATTTAATTTTAAAATCAATAAATCTTCCATTTATTACAAATCATAATCTATCCGACAAAAAAACATAATAAAAAGCAATTGAATGCTTAAAGCGGTTTAATTAAAGCGAAACTGTGTTAAAGAATTGACGTCATCGCCGTCCATGAGATGGATCTGCTGTGACACCGGCAGATATGAACAAATTTACATTGCCTCTAAACGCTTTAGTGGCTTTAGTTACGCTTTGTTAAGCTAAAGGTCACAACGCACTATCGATTTTATTTTCAATTGCATCATCGTTCTACATAAATATAGTCACTGATATTGTAATGTATTTCTTTTCTCTATGTATTCATTTTTTGTAATAACCTAATGGGGAAGGGATTGGCTCCTGTGACAGCGCAACCTACTACAGGACCTAAATGTATACGATCATGAAATGTATAGTATAAGTAATGTATATATGTAAGTAAAATGTATTATAAAATAAGAACGTCGGTGGGTAAGTGGTTTAAGCACTAGACTTGTAATCTACAGACCTCGGGTTCAAATCCCGCCATGTACCTACCAACTGAATTTTAGAATTTCATATGTACATAATTTACCCGTGGTTCTTACGGCGAAGGAAAACATCGTGATGCCTGTACATATCGGCGAAGAAATTTAAAGATATGTGTGAAAGCAACCAACCAGCAATTGACCAGCGTGGTTGACTATGGCCTAGTCACTCCTTACTCCAGGGCAGGGGTGACTAGGCAGGGCAGGCTCCGAGCCCCTCGATGGGGACATATAGTGAGCTGGTGATTACTATAGATTAGCCTTAATTTATCAATTATTTTTAATTAAAAATAGTAAAATTGCATACCATAAAACGATTAGTTTATTGACTAATCGTTAGAATCGCTAGTGTGTTCTTCGCCCTATTAACTTAAGTGCGTTTGTACAATCAACATTAATCCTACTTTTGATGTTGACTGTACATCACAAGTTGACAATAAGTCCTGCTTAAATAGCTTTTGTTAATTACTTTGACAAACTTGTGACGATAGTCACATTTATTTGTTTGTACGTCCACAAATAGATGATGTATTCTAATAAAAATATTTTCGTTCTAATTAACTGTTTGTACATATCTAATAAACTGTTTCGCCTCGCAAAAGACAGAGTCAAATTTGGAAAACTGACCGCCAACCTTCGCTAGTCGGAGAGGCATCGTAAGAAGAAATATACATTGTCCATAGGTTGTTATATTATATTCCTTTCCAAGAATATTGTCCTTATAAACAAGATAAAATAAACATTCTGCACCTATTGGAACTCACTGATAAAAAATGTTTTGTGTTTAGTTACTTGGATGTTAGCTGATTTGTTTAGACTCATTGTAAACAAACTGAACAAATACGTTGCAATACCACAAACAAAACAATATTTAAAAGTGGAAACACCGGTAGAAATTTCCTAGCAACTTTGTTAGTTTAGCCAAAGGATATATCAGATTTTCATTACATCTTAACTAATCGATGTTACTACTTACTAATGTATCATAACCGACTAACTGTCGCCCTCAGGGATTTACACTAAGGGTCCCCTTTAATTGCCAATTAAAGTCGCTAAATACGAAAGCGCCAATAGTCTAATAGTTTGGGGTAGTCCGTACTACCGATATTGCGGTTGATGGTTTGATTCCCGTCATTCGACTATTGTCGTGAAGCTAGCACAAGCCTAGAGCTTAGTTGGAAGGGTTAAAAGAAATATCAGTAAACTAGCTTTCGCCCGCGACTCCGTCCGCGTGGAATTAAAAAAAAAAAAGTAAGTAGCCTATGTGGTCTTCCATACTATCTCCTACATCTATGCGAAATTTCATCGAGATCCGTTTATCCGTTTAGGCTTCAAACTCTAACAAATATCCATACATCCATCTAAACTTTCGCATTTATAATATTAGTAAGATTAACAATAATCTACTAGTATTAAAAAAAACTTCCAGTAATTACGAAAGCCGGTCATTTCACAAAAACACCGGAACAGAATCATTTATGCGTGTCTCGGTCCAGTTAACGCGGAGAGTGGCATATAGTGCACATTTTGACGGATGTCAGCTTCCTGCGCTGTCCCGATGGCACGGGATTCATGTTATACCGAACCCATGATAACGTTTCAATGGAAATATTTGTTACGGAATAACACTCGTTTAACGTCCTGTGATTTCTGATAACAAAACAATAAACATAAATGCGTTTTAGTGGCAATAAAGTTGACATTATGTTGGTAACATAAACGGTTTTTATGAGTACTACCCAAACTTATGAAAAGAATAGAATTGTAAATATGTATACGATCTTACAATACGTAGTACTTCTTGCTAAAGTATGCAAATTATTTAAAAAACATTGTTTTGTGAAGACAAAATAAGACAAATCGAAAATTTTTTTACGTTTTAATTTTATGCAATTGTATTAATCTATAGATAAGTTTTATATTTCAACGTGGAAACTGAAGCATTATGGTACAACAAACAGGACAACCGGTTCGGGACCGCGTTGACGTCACGGACGCTGCCGATAAAAGTAATGGACGTGGAATTAATTTACATTGTCCACTTGTCGGATACGTTGCGATCCCACTTTCACTGACTGTCATTTGTCACAATACAAATGACAAGTCTTTGTAGACTTTTTAACCCGAAAGATGACAAAGAAACAAGCAGTAGTTTGGTATTATTAGTATTGCAAGAACTGCTCATAGACTATAAGTTGAAAGGTTCTTTTGAAGCTCACTAAATTTCCGTCAAAAAAAGAGTGTTCGGTTTTTCGGTTCCTTAACCCCTTCAAAGCATTACGTAATAAAAACATTTGATTGTCGTTGGGACAAAAAAATCGTATTCTATTTTCCATATGATTTTTAAAAGGATTCATAAATGTTTTTAATGTACAAGAATTTGTTAAAAACAAACCCTTGCATGGTACAAAAACTAGTGCAACAAACATCAGCTGCAAACATCAACAACTAGAATGGCATCTGTCTAGCAGAATGAATAATTAATACGTGTTATTAGATCCATGAACACGTGCTTTTATACGTTTAATATGATTGTATAATTTGTTGATTACCATATTGTAAACACTACGTAAATGTAAAAACAACAAAACGTGTTTGTATGGTAATAAATTAACTTCAACTCATGAAGAAACGTGCGCAGCTTTTCTTAAATCAACTGAATGCGTCGCTCATACAATCTTTCGTCTTCTAAATAAATATTTGCAAGATATTGATGACTTGCCTTGCTATTTACTATCTCTCATTTCTGTATTGTCTACAGATTTATCAATGTTTTATAAATATTTTTGAAAATATGAATGATAAGATGTAGAGCTTATATTGTCATTAAGCTGCAAGGTGACATTAAAATAAGAAAAAATGTAAACAAAATAATCGAAATCTTACCTTTTTAGGTAGCGTTGGGGGCTCGAACTCCTCGTCGTCCCGGCTGGAGAGTGTGGAGCAGGAGGAGCAGGCGGAATCTGCCGACAACGAGCGCGCACGCAGCCAGGCCGCCTCCTCTGCACTCGCGCCCACCACCACGCCATCCGAATAGTCGCTGACGACGACACTGGGTGTACGTACGCAGCGGCCACGCGCCTCGCTACCGTCACTGCCCTCGCTGCCGCGCCGCCCTAGCTGCACCACATGCGCCTCCACTAAAGTACGCTCGCGACGCGGCGAGGGCGCGCCGGGCGGCGGCGTCAGGTCGCGCGGGTGCGAGTGTCGTCGCGGCCTCGGCTCCAGCTCCACGGCGGAGTCGTCACTTAAGTCACGGCTGCGGCGCCGTACCGCCGCGCGGTCATCGTCGTCCGAAGAGGTGATGTCCTCGGGCGGGGTGGCGGCGCGCGGAATGCGCAGATACTGCATGGGCGCAGGTTCGAAACGGCGCAGGAGTTCGGAGACGCGCGGCTGGGCGTGCCGGAGACGCGCGTGCGTGGCCGCGCTCACGAGCCCACTGGCACTAGCGCGGCGTTGCGCATGAGACTGCGCCGGCGCCGCGGCCCGCGCCTTCTCCGGCTCCACACCCGCGCTCAGCTTCAGGTAGAACAGGCTGTGGTTGAGGGCTTTCTCGCGCAGCACGCGGCGAAAGTCCTCCGGAGGTTCTAGGCGCGGCATTGTTCCTGGATACATACATACACAAACTGTTTACTCGATAAATGTAAATAAACAAATGACAGTATTCGAACTACAATTAAAACTTAACTAATTCTTCGTATCATTTTTAATATCAAAATTAAATTAATAACATCTCCCATCTAATTTCATGAAATACGTTTTATGTTAAAAACAGATAGGTTTATTTTATAAAACATAAATTTAATTACATTATTAAAATCTATAATTTCGAATTCTACCTTCAATTGTCATTCTTGGTAAATTTGATTAAAATTATAAACTAAAATTAAACAATTTAATATGCACCTTGATTTCGCTTCAAAAACGGAGCATGATTTTTTTGTTTCTCGTATTGATGTCACAAAATTTTTCCATTCATTAGCTTAGAGACAAAAGCACGAACATGTGCCGAGACTTGAAATAGGTCACTGTATAAATAACGAATACAAAACATGCGCTCTTTGTAGATGAATGTTTACAAATTATGATAATTGTGCATATTATGTCTAACACATTATATTTAAAATCTATTGTTACCTGTATTACGTCACTTCGTTGCTGAACCGTCAGTTAACATTTCATAGTAACTAAAACAAAGAAAACTAATATTAATATAAACAAATAGAATAAGGCAAAGACATTAGGCATCATATTTATTATTAGTATTTTCCTTGTTCTTTTAGAATGATGATGACATAAATTTAACAGTCGTCTACGACTCTAGCCCGCCTTAACATCTTCACACGAATGGACCGGCTCGTCTGGTGCATTACCACGACCACACAGAAGACATGCGTGAAGTGGGAGCAATTCCGCGTACAGTCTGATGAGTGTGGTGCCGGAGGCCTAGTTTTAGTCCCTTTTCCTTTCCACCCTTTTCTTAAGAGGGAAGGATGGAAAGGAAAAGTGGATTTGACGGCGGAAGAGACGCATAGAAAGGGAAAATACCCTGGTTATGTGAGTCTTCTCTTTCCTCGATTAAGGGTAGGTAACGCATCTGTAATTGCGCATATCTATGGACAACGGTCGCTTCGCCATTTCGGCGGATTCAGGTAGCAGCTTGCTCCTTATAATATAAAAAAAAAACAACTGTAATAAGTTGCAACTAAAGTAGAATCGCCTGCAAGAATTAAAAGTTGAAGTTAAAATATTCATTAAAAGCTCTATAAATATTTTAATTACTAGCTGTTCCCGTGCGACTTCATCCGCATAATATTATGAAAATCTAATTTTATTATTTACATGTGTCAAATTATCAATTGCAAATGTCAAAATGACATGACGATGACAAACCATGGAAACCTTGCTTCTTTGATGTTGACAGCAACTTATGGTCTCTTTTCCACATTAGGGTTTTTATCCAAAACATTTACCCCCTAAGTTTAATGGCGTGAAAATATATAGCCTAAAGCGTGACGTAAGTGTGGGGTTTTTTATTGAAAAAAGAATTATTCAAAAATATGCTGTAATTGCTGACATCTTAGGTAACAAAGAAGTCTGTGTTTACACTTTATTATAATAGTATAGATTACGTTTACTTTTGCTCTATGGAGGTTGCTATTAGAGTTTTCTATAGCATTATTATACAATCTCAACTCTGTGAATAAAGTTTCCATATAGTTACGAAATATAGAATTTATGATTTACACACGATTTATTAGATTTCAAAATGTGGAACGAATTGATACGCAAGGCAAACGTGCATGATTTTAATACGTATATGCAAGTGTACATTACAATGTGAAAAACAAATTCCATATAAACCGATAAGTTGAGATTTTAGGAGCCTTCGAGCTAAATGTAGAGTCGTCAACGCATCTACGAAAAAAAAACACATTTTGGGTAGATCAGATATTATCTCTACTATTATTATAAAGAGGAAAGATTAGCATTTTGGGATTTTGGATTTTTGTACGTATCGAAATAACTCCGAAACTAATGGACCGATTTCAAAAATTCTTGCTCCATTAAAAAGCTACGTTATCACTCAGTAATATAGACTATATTTTTTATATTTCACGCAGGTGAAGTCGCGAGCAACAGCCAGTTATAAATAACCGAGTAATTAATACAAAAGACGTTGGATAAATTTTGACTTTGATAGTATCAACGTTATCTAAAATTATTTGATAATATCTTTATTTATCATGATTACTATATTAAAATAATTTAGATAACAAAATAAACTAAACGAAATAATAGAGACGCCTTACTTTAGTATGCGAAGGATTTGCAGAATCTAACATTTAAATATTCCTATGACCTATGCTTTGATATTTTATGCATTGCACCCGCATACACGAATAGTACAAGTACGTGGGTATATTATCAACATTAACAACTATGTACTACATATTTCCATATTAATATAACTATTTGAAATTATTGCACACACCAGATAAATTTTACCTTCAATGTAATGTCCACTATAACCTATCGTAATATCAAAGATGAAACACCAGACAGGAAAGTCCTTAATAAAAGGTATTTGTAATAAAAAATGTTACCCCACTCATGGCTTGTTTAACTCAAGTTAATTCAGTACCGCATCCAAGAGTTAAATTTGTTAAGGCGTCATTATATTGGTAAGGTGTAAACATCAAAAGGTCACGTTTTTGAAACTAGTAAGTGTTGGTAAATTGAACAGCATTCTGTTATTTAGTAGAGAATTTAAAGTAAAAAGTAGTAATTTACATATGGTTATATAATATCCATTTACACCTACAGCTGTAAACTAACTCCACTTGAGTAATATAATCGATTTTAAAACCCTTTTAAAAATACTATTATTATGAATGTTAAAGTTTGGATGGATAAATGCTTGTTAGATATTGTAGCCTAAACTGCTAAACGGATCTCGATAAATTTTGGCATAGATGTGGAGGACAATCTAGAAGAACACATAGGCTACTTACTTTGTTTTTTTTTATTCCACGAGGACGTAGTCGCGAGTCGAAGCTAGTTTTTTCATAAAGGTAACTTTTACAACACTAGTATTATCTAACATTGTAACTAATAAATATCAATAATTTATCTATAAGCGAAGCTTTTATTCAATTAATGTTTATAAATAATACGCTTTTGATTCAGTGTGATAATGCCTTTATACGCCGCCAGTCACTCGCTGCGTGTCCTAATGTGACGTCAAAGCCAGCCTTGTGCCGGAGTAAGGGCGTTCGTTATACTCGCACGAGAATGGCTTAATTTAGACAATATAACAAATTGTTTTGATAACTGTCCACGTAATTTATTTAATGAAGACAAACCATTTCCTGCTATAAAACATCGTATAAAGCTGTATAAATTGTCTTTTAGATGTTTTTCGCAATTTTTTTTTACTATCTAATTACGCGAAATGTTTTGAAGGAACAAACTCTGTTTTCAAGTATTTTAACTTACTAATCGATTACGTTATTGAGGAAAAAATACTTGTTTTAATTAACGGTATATAAAATTGTATAATTATGAAAAGATGAGTTATAACTTTATGATTGAAAGCCAATAACATATTTTGCTCTAATATTAAGTGATGACAATTTAACTAAATTATTAATAAAAATCAAAACACGGAAAGTCGCGGGAAAGAGTGTATTGTAAAACATACCTGACGGCCTAGATAAGCCAGATAAGGCTAAGCTAACAGCGATAGCGCGCAGACGGATCGGGGGCACGCGGCTAGTGTAAACACTTTTATCTCGATGTGGTGAGAGCTTTTAAAGATGTGACATGATTTTATTGTGATATGAAGACAATTTTATTACAAGGATTTAACAAAAACCTACATTCATTTTTAACATAAAATGTTTCATGATTTAATGTAAACTTAGTACTTTTTTTTATGGGATTTAAAAAAAAATCGTAGCTAGTAACCTACGTTAAGGCTAATTAACAGTGGCTATGTTTTTGTACCCATTTTACAATAAATTAAAGGAGGAATTTTTAAAGAGTCATTTATAAAAAAAAATATTGCACATTTTACACTCAAAATTTATAACACGGAAATAAGATAGTGTTATGACTATCAACTTAAGTGCATATAATGCATCTACTAATTACACACTCGCATCGTTACCCGTTACAGTGTACGATTACAAACGGCATCCTGTAAGTACTGTTAAATTAGTTAACTAATGAATAACAAATATAATTTTCTCTCAATAGGTTTTTAATGCTTTTAGTTAAATAAATGTGATTTTAAGCTTTTATGAGCTTTTGTAATCTCACTATTAAGCTTTCTGTGAATGTGTGTCAAATCAATTGACAAATAATTAATTTGAGCTTCGAGTTTTGCACTCAGTACCTCGAAGTAATTATTATTTTCTTGTAGAAAATTAATTACATTATAGTTAGTAATTTGGTGAAATCGACTTTCATCAGATTGAAGCACTTTTCACTGGAGATTAACATCGTGTTAAGAATGTGAACAGTGAGCACAATGGAAAGGAATTAGAAACCGTAACGTACGGACACAGCTCGAGCTCATTGTTATAATAACGTATAGATTACAGTTATATTACATTACCCTTCTTAGTTGTCCGGGAAATAAACCCCCTTTCTCCGAACCGTACATAAAGTAAACAAAACTGGTAATACGTATCGCTGACGATTTATATGAAAGCAGTTCTATAGGCTAAGACTATTAGGGAGGGGACAGCTACCATTAATTAGTAATAATTTTTTTGTGTTGTTTACATTATTTATTTTCTAGGCAAGACAGGCCCCGTTTGCCCGTCTCAACTAGCGACGTTAATTGTTCTATTTTTATTGTAATTTGTTAAATTACATTACACATCTGATTAGAAACACTGTATATTGGGGAAATAATAATAGTTCTCTATTTTTACGAAACCTTTTTTTTATTTTAGACACTTATTATTAGACTAACAGAAATGTTGTTAGAGCAACCTCTGTAATAAATCCAATTAATAAATTCATCAATTAAATTTGAGTGTTTTAATAAGTTTTCTGCTATTGGAATAGAATGTCGTCAAAAGTAGATTAGAAAACAGGTGAACGTGGAACGAACATTAATTTAGTAACGCAATTGCCGTGCGCTTCCGTTGGCCTCTGCGCTGACGAAACGTGAAATATCAGATAAAGTTTAATTTGCTGATAACGTGCCGGTAACGCAATACAGCCCGCTGCTGGTACTATCGTTTTGTCGTCTAAATGTAAAGCGAAATATACAGGTAATGTTCTAGGATACTGATAAGGAATCGCTTAAAAGTTTGCATTGCAATTTAATGTTGTGAACAGCAAAACGCCTATCTTCGTTAACATATACTTCTATATTTTTTTCTGTAATTACTTTATCAAACGAATTAATTCCGTGTAGGAAGTCGGTAAATAATGTCGTGTTGCTGCATTAAGGAAATAGAAATTTAATTTCAATAATTTCATCAAACTAAAATATATCGATTTAGTTATAATGAAGTTAAAAATAATATTGACTTGTATAATGAAATAAAATGTAAATGTAAAATTACAACAAACTAGTCTAAACAATTTTACCTTTGTAAGACTATAATCACAGAATTATTAAAAACAGAGATGTTTACGTCATCAACTAATCTTATAAAGATAAAAG